ATCGCCGACAAAGGTGCTGCGACTCCCCGTATTGACAAGCGAGAGGCCGAGATTCTCCGCCCATTCCTCTATAGCACGACCCCTGCCGTTCGTGCGGGAGGACCCCCACCTGGTAGAGTGGGCGTTGAAATCCCCCGCGACAAGGGTCGGGCGGTGAGGGCGCCTCCTCACGGCCGCAGCAAGAGCCTGGAGCATATCCTCATACTCACACAGAGGCAGCTGCGGCCGGAGGTAGCAGGCCAGAGCGTCTATCCCCATTCCGCCAGGATGTAAAAGTTCCCGCACTCAACGCAGGAGGGCCGCGGGGAGCCAGGCGTGGGACGCCAAACGATGACCGCAGACCCGCTCTTGTCCCCCAACCATCTGTCAGTATCTGGAACGGTATATGGATCCGCGACGACCGCCAAGCCTAAATCACTCTCATCCATCGCCCGGAGGAACATGTCCTGCGCGGAACGAGAGTGACCCAGGTTCGCCTGAAGGGGGTGATCCCGATCGACCACGGCTCGATTGGACACTACCAATCACAGCGATCGGTGCTTAGTAGCTTTGTAGTCTCAAGCGCTGTGAGTGGCTCATGTCCAATTGAGCCGTGTCCAACTGGGTACCACCCGCCTGAAGGAGGCGTGTCGCCGCGTGTGTTACGGCTTCACTGCCTCCTCCAGGCATACCTCCATACTTGCGTCTACAGACGCCGAGGGGTAGGTCTCGTTGCTCCCGTGCGTTGGATCGGGGGTTGCGTCCTCCCTGTCGCACTCGAGCCTATCCCCTTCTTCCCCGTTGACTGGAAGGGCCCGGCCGGCGGGCCCCCTTCTTTTCTTCTCCTGCCCTTAGCCCCTCCGGCAACGCAGCAGGAGTCCGTACCAATGCGGTGCGCCGAAGCCCTGCCCGCCCCGGCACAGGCCGGGCAGCTGGCGGGGGCCGTGCACTCACGAACCGTGTGCCCGGGCCAGCCGCACTGGTAACAGCAACCGGTCCTATCGACCTCGCTGCTGCAGCCGGCCCTGACGTGTCCCACTCCCAGGCACTTGAAGCATTGGAGGGGCCGCACACTGAGGAGGGTCACCCTTGCGGACACCCAGCCAACTCTTATCCTCCCAATTCCGGCGACCTTTCCGGCCATTGTCGCCGGGCACCGGGCCCAAACGGACCTGAGCCCACCGGGAGTCCTCGTAACTGGCCCCACCTTGATCTCCCCAACCTCGCAGGATCCGGCTCGGGCAATCGCCTCAGCGATCCGTCGGCGTGACGGAGTCGTCGAGGCCGGCCACTCTAATCTCCGCTCTTTTAATGGGCCTGGAGACTTTTACTCCCTCCTGCGAGGCCAGCACCTCCGCCATCCTCTTAGCCAACTTATTGGCCTTGGCCTGGTTTTCGGGGCCCTTTACCTCCAATATAAGAGCCCCGGTGACCGCCCTCCTTGCTTGCAGATCATCGATCTGCATTTCGGCGAGGTCTAAATTTTGTCTCACTACGGTCATGGCCTCCGCCAGCGAGCCTGGCGGAGCGGTGACCGTGATGGCTACTGCCTTCATAGGGCGCAACCTCGGCGACCTCCCCTTCGGTCCGGGCGCCTGCCTTTTGTCGACCTTCTTGACCGGCTTTGCCTGTACCCCACCCCCTTTCGGGGGTATGCTTTTGGTAGCACTCTCCCCCCGCCGCGCCGCAGTCCTTGTTCTTCGAGCCTCCTTTCGGCCCAGCACCTTGGTCCAAGGCACCGGCTCCGCGACGGGAGTATAATAACCTAACCCTAATCTAACCATGTACTATGGTTAGGTCTAACCATGTACCGTGGTTAGGGTTAGGTTAGGTTAAAGTGTGACCGTACTCTACGAGTCGCTGTTAAGCATGCCAGCGTATTCGTAATAATGTACTGTAATTAATAAGACTACTTGCGTAGCATTTACTACTTTCGGTCGCCACTCTATTTCCCCGTCCAATAGAGGTTTTTTCGGTAGAATCCCTCGTTTGCTAGCCGTCTCTCGCTGTCTCGAAGTCCTTGATTGGCTTCCTTCCTTCTTTGTCGCGATGGCCGCTAGGTTCAATATGTCCGTCGTGCCGCCGATTGACTTTCCCGGGATGCGCTTATCGTAATACCGTCGTGTAGGAATGGTAGCGCGTAAATTACTCACCACAAGGCCGTGTAACTCGAAATAAACTTTATTATAAAGTTTAATGGGCCTCTCTATCACTCTTGCACTCATTCGCGCTCTCGACACTATCTTTCTTTGTTACTACGACTGTCGCGTCGTGTCGCACTAACTGCGAAAAGGCCGCTTTCAAATATGGCCGCTAAAAGATGATGTAACACTTCACCACCTTTGTTGGTCGTTTCGACACTTTACATGAGCTTATTTCGCTCGTACCGCGTATTTCTTACTCGCGTTTTACTTTTATACTTGCTTTATAGAACCGTAACCTCTAATTCTGCGCTCGCGGCTTATTACTGCGCGTTTCACTCAGCGCGAGGCATTTGGTTCCGCGATTTTAGTTTCCGCGTGTTCCGCGTTTCCTTTCGCCTTTCGCGATGTATTACTCACGATTCCCGACAATGCCGCGTAACTTGTCGCGTAGTTATGCACATCTTAGGTAAATCGGATAGAAAATGAGCCGCGCGTTCTTTCTACGACTTTTCCCTTCGGGCGTCTCGCAACAAGTATCCCTAATGGCTGCTTCTTGTCCTTTCTCGATTTCGCACATCCGCTAGCATGGCGCACTGTCCTATGGAACAGCAATGGCTGAGTCAGGTAAACTCATTCCTGGTAAATTTTAGTAATGATCAGTAACACTCGTTCGTCAGTCATACATGCCCTTTTTAAGCTTGCAAACGCTTGAATTAGTAGTAAAACATATTAATTAAGACTCTAAATTCCTTTTCCCACACGTGCGATCGATTTTCGCAACGTCGAGCATACGTTGCACCTTATTGGATCTCTGGTAATTTTCCCTATATATTAGTAATCTTTAAATCCGAATGTTAAAATCCATCAAAATAATTTTAATTAATTATGACAGAGCCTATAGAATATTTCCCGATCCAGTAACTTGCGTAACACCTCGATTCTTTAAATCACAAATAATTAAATTGTAGTACATATATTTATTTTTTTTTAATAATTGGAACGGACTCTAATAATTGATACATGACTCTAAGTCTTTCAAAACATTACACAGGCCTGCAAAATTGGAGGTGTTGAAAGTTGATTGGGATTTAACTATGTTTTCTTACGTAATTTTTCGCGCTGAATCCGAATCCGGTGGCAGAATTGCTCTATCACGTCAGGTTTTTGAGAAAAGTGAGGTTAAAGGTGTCAAAATTGACATTTTTTGACATATTTGTGATTTTTTTGCTAGCGAAGTAAATTTTTTTTTCTACTTTCGTTTACGTAATTTTTCGCGCTGAATCCGAATCCGGCTGCAGAATTGCTCTATCACGTCGAGATTTCGAGAAATCTTAACCCAAAACATCCAAATAAGTCATTTTCAGCCATATTTGAAATTCAATTAAAAATTGATAAAATTTTTGTCGTCTAATCCATCGATGGTATCATTTACTACTATACAGCCCCTTCAAAATCCATTTTGAACCGTCCCAAAGCGTCCAAAGTTACGTAAGAAAACATAGTTAATCTCTGCGTAATCACACAAACATTTTGTGTCAAAAATGTTTTTCTTTGTGTGACTACACAGAGATTATCTCGGTGAAAAAAAAATGTACGGCGTTAAAAAAAATATATTTTGAAGATAAATGTTGACACTTTCAGATGGCGTAAACGAAAGTAGAAAAAAAAATTTACTTCGATAGCAAAAAAATCACAAATATGTCAAAAAACATCAATTTTGACACCTTTAACCTCACTTTTCTCAAAAACCTGACGTGATAGAGCAATTCTGCCGTCGGATTCGGATTCAGCGCGAAAAATTACGTAAGAAAACATAGTTAAATCCCAATCAACAAAACCATGCAGGCCTGTGTTATTTCTAAATTATTTTTATGCATTTTCCTCTTTTATCTTGAATATTTAATTTATTGCTTTCTTACTTGCTCTTCGTCGTTCTCGCTCCAACTACTTTAAATAGTCAAATAATTCGAAATCAATCAAAATAATTCTTTTATCATTGAAATAATTATATTACTATTCCGTTTAATTAATTACGTCGTTAAAATAATTATTTTATTCTCTAGTTAATTAATTTACTTACTTTGTCAAATAATAATCTGTTTCTCTTTTCAGGTTTTCCCAGGTCATTCTCAATGGATGCTGCGGTAAGTATTTTCATACATTTATTTCTTATTCATCTCCAAATAGTTATTTTATTCTCTAACTAATTTCTTATTGACTCGAATTAATTAATTCCGCTCTTTATATGCAAATATATCCAATGAAGTTGCCCTCTGAATCTTAGGTACCTAGGTGGTTTGGATAAGTATCATATTATGTATGTGTGATAATCGTTGTTTCGATCTCGATTGAGATCTCACGTAGCGGGATGAATTGCTGGACTGGTAAAGGCACTGCGCACTCCGATTAACTCGTTATATGTAAACTTTATTTTCAAACGCCTCATAATTGCTTTGCTGTAACGTGGCACAATGAATGTTGTAGAAATGCACAATTAGCGGTAGCTAGCGTAGCGATGCTCATCCACGGTGGCAGCCGTTATGAGATGTACAAAATGGCGTGTCGCGGTAGCGTACACGTTGCACGAACGCTACTGCGTTCGTCGGACTCGGACGAATTAGCGAATAATTCGAGTTGAATACCTGGCCGATTCTTGACACTGGATTCGCGGTCGCGGGAGCCCGATAACTTGTATGAACTTCGTTACGAATTCGAGAAACGGCTTGTCACGACGAGCGCTTACTTGTTTCTGAGGGGAGAGTCGCGTTACCCGAAACGGCAGCTTCAGATAGCGCAATTAGCGCGACAAATCGGCAGGCGACAACGACATCGGTTTAAGCATTGTCCAATAGCGCGGTAACACGCCGAAATTGCTATAATAATGTTCGCGAAACGGCGCAGCGTCTGCGACGAAAGATTCACGGAAGGAATCGATGGCGCCATCGACCCTTAATTTCCATTTATCGTACTCAAATTCTAAGTAATGTCGCAACAGAGTTCAAATAATATCTATGAGTATTTTACCAGGTGGAATACTTAAGGAAGAAGGATCAGAAGCTCGAAATAAGGATTATAAAAATTTCAGACTAAAACTCATACTAGAAAACATAATTGCCAAGCAAATCTGGAAGATGTTTTTGGTAGAGCAATGGATACTTCTGATGTAGTTATTTCAAGTATTCATCTTAACAAACGGATTAAAAACCAAAATCGTTTGCCATTTCCTTCTAATGTGATTGAACTCTTTGAAATTCCTCATGTAGAATCCAATATTAGCGCTTCTGTAGATAATGATAATGGAAGTTCAGAATTTTCTAAAGTAGTGTGCTTTTCGAATGAAACAGAATTATCCGACGAAGATTAGTTAATGAGAGTTAAGAAGACTAATTAAATTTAAGCACCCCGAAGAGTGAAAGGCAAGGGGACTCACTGTAATCAAGCACCCCGAAGAGTGATAGGCAAGGGGACTCACTGTAATCAAGCACCCCCAAGAATGAGAGGCAAGGGAACTCATTGTAATCAAGCACTCCAAAGAGTGAGAGGCAAGGGGACTCACTCCAAAAAACACCCCAAAGCTAAAGGAGTTTTAAATCGCACTGTTGTCTCCACTTGGTAAACTCGTAATTGCAATTTCGTAGACTAATTTACAGGCGTAACATTTTGTTTTTAATTTGCGTTCAATAAGATAAAAACCATTATATCGATCTGCATTATACAAAATTTATAAATTCTTATCTCGAAATCGCTATTAGCATGATAAAACACGAGAAAAAAATTTGTATGCAATTCTGAAAAATTATTAAACATTAAATATGATATTAGAAGATAGACTATTATTTCAAATTTTTTAATTTTTATCTTAAAATTGCAGTTGTAATAAGCAATCTTAAAAGAAATTATGTATAAATACTCATAAAAATAAGTCAATAATTACTACTATTAAAATATGGCTATTTTTTGTATTTTACTCCGTCATTTAAATCCACCATTTTCAATTTTGTAATTCTAACCTTGGATTTATGTTCAGAAATTATGCCCAAGAAATCCATAAAAACAAGTCAACATTAAAAGATGACTAATTTTTATAATTGTAGCCGCCATATTAAATCCGCCATTTTTTATTTTTTGCTTTTGATATCAGATTCGAAATCAGCGATCTCAAAAACCCCTAAATACCAAGTTTCATGCAAATCCGTTAAATTTTGTAATTTTAGCCACTTTTTCTGTCCTCTCAGCCCATGCGCTGGCTGGAGGCGTCTCGTATGCGGGGAGAGCACCCATCTCCTCGCAATATCGAGGCCATGAGGGCCGTGGCGCGCTCCCGGGTTGTCGACCAATAGCAGCAACGCCTAGAGTCGAGCCCGGAGTGCGCCGGAAACCGGGCCGTCGGTTCCCACCTTAAGGAATAGATTGCCAGAGGGCACGGTGCTCTCTCATACCGCCTGACGCAGGTGCTCACGAGGCACGGTTGGTTCGGGGAGTACCTGCGGAGGATCGAGAAGGAGTCGACCACGATGTGCTACCACTGCGGCGCCGAGGTAGACTCGTCGTTACATACGGTGGAGGCGTGCCCGGCGTGGACCTCAAAGCGCGGAGTCCTCGTCCGGGCAATAGGAACTGACCTCTCGTTGCCGACATTA